TCGCCTGTAAGAACTTAAGGGTTTCAGAACCTGCTGGTAGAAATTTGCCATTTTAATACCCAAAAATATGAGAACTTGTTTAGCCAAGTAAGGTCAAGCAAGTTCTTATATATACATGAGTTGTAGTTAAATTATGAGAAACATTTCAACCTAGGAGTGTGACTTTGAAATTGTAATTTTACATTTCAAGAATATACATAATGCAGTTTTGAATAAATACTGTATATTCAAGGACCAAAAGGTTTGAAACCCAAGTTTATTTATTTTTCTGGTAATCAACTCATATATTTCCTTCATAGAAATTAAGAACCTAATTAAGAACCTATTTAGCCTAAACTGCCGATAATTTCCACAAATTAAAAGAACCTATTTTGCCAGACTTTCAAAATGTAGGTTCTTACTCGCGGGTTCCTGCTGTATTGAATTCGCTATTTGCTGTGAAACATTAAACGATGTTTTCTCTGCCAAGGCTTAATAATTACACTTGCAGTCTTTATTGAAGTTTCTCTATATGTGTCACGCCTTCTTTTTAGATATTTCATTTCGCAGTTGCTATCCATTTCACTTATTAACCTTTGTGTTAATTTCAACCTACTTTCCTGCCGCTGGTAGGCGATTTCGCAATTTGCCATCATTAATATTGAGAAGAATGCGAGTTAAACTACCTGCCGAACGATTTAAACACTGATGTCAAAAAGTGCAGACCTTATGTCATTTCGACTTAACATAATTCAATTGCGTACAAGGGATTATTTTGGAGGAAAATAAAGACGAGTTTACGACACAAGCAACTTCATAAGTAGCAAAATTTAACACTAATTTTCGAGTGCAGAAATTATACCTATGGTCTAAGACTTATGTTGTTTGGATTGTTACGCAGAAATGGTCAGAAATATGACACGTAAAATTTCTTGCAAGTCTCCCTAAATCGACACATTTCGAAGATTCGAATCTATTTTAGTGTAGTTGAGGATATTCAAAGTTCCGAAGGAAAACAGTTTAATTTAGCGTCATGTTTATTTGTGTCAATAAACAAGACTGACTTGGTTGGAGTAACAAATTCTGCCAATTTTAAAAATTACATTTTTGAAAACCTTCTTACTAAATTGCACTTCACGGGGAAGCATTATGTCTTACGAGACTTGCTGTCAATTGGAAATGTACTTTAAGCACATTCCGAAAGTATTGAAATTGAGACCAGGTAAGTTAAAATTGAGAATGACAAATATATTATGTCTCGAGGCAAGAGTAGTAATTTTATAGCAAATTTTGCGGTTAGAATTGCCTCCGGGTTTAGAGAGTAATTGGAGAAGAACTTGCTAAAGTTAGTAACCTAAACGAAACACTTTAAAGGCAGCAACAACAGGCAAGAAAATCTTAATTCAAATTTGAGTTGGCAAACTTCTCAAGAGCAGACATATGGCAAATTAGATTACGAATCTCTAATATAATAATTTAAAGACAAGGAGATATGTTATCTTTCGAAGAAATACTTTATGGTCCAGCTTCTTCTATAGTCTTTTCATGGTATTTTTTACTATCGGGATTCAGACATTGTGCAGCAATTCCAAATTTTGTGAAGTATATATATTCTTTGTGAAGTATATACATTCTTCACTTTCAATTCCAAATTTTCTTAACACAATGAACCCATTTTCCAAGATGCTTGACAGCAAACAAAATACGTTCAAGAATTTGTGGTTCTTCGCTAAGCATTCCCTCTACACGTTAGTAATAATATTATCACACCTTTCTATTAGCAAAGTTTATCTTGATCAGACAAAATTTGGAGTTTTCTGGCAGAAAATTTTAATAAAATTTGATTATAACTTCTACAAACAAACAACCAATTTGCTTATGATGTGCCGAACAACAAACATTTTTATTTACCCTAAGGGAATTTTCACTGTGTTTTGCCAGAGTTTAGTCTTTATGTTGTGGATTATTTTGTAGCTTATTGCAATAATTAAGAAAACTACCATTTCTTTAACTGTCACCTGCTTAGGCGAAAAAATGCTTCGCAAAAGTGCATACCAAATAGTATGATATATATCAAAATATTTTTACCATAGAGCAAATTACAGAACTGAAGATAAAAAAAAAATTAAAACGAGACGGTCGTTCTCTATAAGTTTTGACACGAAATTATATAAAACCTGAAAGAATTATTAAACGTTTTGTACGGTTTTCACCGTATTCACCTGACCGTGCTAACATTGTGCAGTATTTCGTTGCCCTTGGCGGTCAATATCCAAATTTCTTATCATGAATATTGATAACTGTATAAGTTAAACTACCTGCTTAACAAGTCAAACAATTCTGCCATAAAAGTAGATTTCATGACAGTTCGACTTGAGATAATTCAATTATGCAAAAGAGAGAGTTTCAGAAGCCAAATCAAGAAGGATCACACGTAAAAAATACTCACAAGTAAGGAAATTAAGGTGTTCTTAAATGTCGTGTTTATATAAGTGGTGAAAATCCCTCGATGATGTCTATCTTTGAGGTAGTATTGTTATAAATACTGGGGAAAAATTATCAAAAAGCCGCAAATCTCCTTGTAAGACGATTAAAGTTTACTACCAGGATGTTGTGTGGGTTTTTTTAACGAAATTTTGGTCTCCGAAATGTTTTTAGGCACATGGACTTTGGCTAAGAAGCCTGACCTCCGAGTGTACGAGTTTAAGTTTGGTTCCAGGCAAAAGATTATAAATTTTTGTTTGGGACAACAATGTCGCATGAATTTTAATTCTGTTTTTATTAGTGTATTGTAATAGAATTAATGGATGAATGGATGCGTCACCTTCGAAGCGAAATATGTGAATTATTACGGAAGAAACTCGTGTTTGAAATAGTTTTCTGAAGAATAAAAATTGCTTTACAAAACTGTGGTAAAAAGTAGCCCCGAGCTCTGAATAATTTATTAATAGCCCGCTGAATGTATTGTAAACAAAGCCCTAGAAATCTACAACGATGTGGAATTGGACTTAATTAGAACTATGAAAAGGTGTTAACTAAGTTAACTACTACACACGAAGGTTTGTGTGATAAAACGGCGCCATTTTTGATACATTTTTGTTGGTATCAACGATGGATCAGATTGAAATTTAAGTTGTGCGCTCAAGATGGCTATGGTTTGCAGTTGAAAGATTTTCGTAACTATTACAAGAAAAACTAACATTATCGAAAATATCGAAAACAAGGTGTTTTTATAATGATTTATTACCTGTAGGAGAGAATTTAAAGCATTCTGCAATATCACTGTCTGTAGTGGATGAAAAAATAGCCTGGAGGCTTATAAACGGCTTCAACACTTTCTTGGTGTCAACTTGGAGTAAAAGAATTTGGGCACCACGTGAAAAAGCGAAAAAGCAATACATTTCTATGATGTGACGATTTTTCTGTCTTATGTGAAGCTGACTTTAGAAAACCTCATGAGTAATTGATTCACCCTTGACCAAGTTCTCATTTGTCCTTACAATGTCATAACAATTTCAAGACAAAAAGTGATGAGAATAAAGAACACCATCAAGTAAAGTGTCCTCATGAACCCGGGAATTCTCCAAACAAATGTGAAGACGGATTTCGCTCAAAGTTCAAGCAATACGTGCAAAAATTATTCACTAAAACTCTGCTCATAGCATGGTAACTTTTTTAATGCCATTTGAAACATCTCACTGTAATTCATTTCTCTAAGTGAACCCGAGATAACATTCTCAAGCATTCTCGAGAAAGTTAAAGTCAAACCTCGTAAGAATGCTTAAAGCGTGTGTTATTGTGCTTTGAGCTGAAGTGAAACGTTCGTTTTTATTAAAATATGGATCGGATAACTTCAAATTCAATTTTCTCTCGCGGAATAGCAAATTTTTTTCAAATAAATTCTATTTCTTAAGAATTTAAGATAGCTCTGAACGTTTACCCATTACCCCGGGGGGTCATAGCAAAAATTGAAGAGTGAACTTTTAAAAAACGACTACTTGCAGGAATATCGTTCTTTACATGCTAATCATGACTGGGGTAACCGAGCTCGTTTTTTCAGCACCTGAAGGAAAAATTAACAGTGTCTTTATAGCATGTTGTTCTGGTAATATGATAATCGGTTATGTTATAAACACGATCGTTACTTGGTAACTTGATCACTAATGACTGGATATTTCTATGATGCCTTTTTAGCATCGGGTGATATAGGTTAGCGGTATAAAATATGTTATTTTATCTAGAGTTGTCTTTAAAATGTGCAAAATTTCCTAAATATCGACAAAAACCACAAAAATATTCGTTTGCGTTTAGTTAGGGGTGTTTTATAATTTGGGTGTCTAAAACATGTTACCTGCATGATATTGAAATATATTTTTCTTAAGATATTGAATTTATTTCAAAAGCGAATAGTTCATAGCATTATTATTGTTAAGAAACACCTCTACTTAGAAACCGTTCCAGATTTTAGTTTAGGTTCTCCAACATGTCTTGTGGAAAGGCAATATATTTTAACCGGCCGGTAATTTGTCCAAAATGCCAATCACAAACCTTTAGAAGGAATAAAAGCATTATCTGTCGATCATGTTGTATACATATTTTTTTATTGTTATTTGGAAGGGATGGGCATTGAAGTTCGTTAAATAAACAAAACGAGCAGTTGTTCCTTGACATCATATTTTTCCAATCGTAAACAAAAAGAATTTAAAGACAATTTCCTAAACGCTTTTATGTTGAATACGTAGTTTAGGATCCCATACGTGACTTGCATATGGTATCGTTTGCAACTACAAATGGATATGTTTGGCAAAATGTTTTGCACCAAAATCAATTGTCTACTGTACAAAGTTGTGCAAAAATAGTTTTAAAGGAATACTTTCATGGCTGTTCTGCATAGAAACGACCAGAGAAACCAGATTGCAGGAAAAACTGCTTTTTTCGGTTTAATGGAAACGTAACTATGTTTTATCATCTTAAATTACCAGTTAATGAGTTTTGTTTTATTGTCAACACCTTAAGCAGCTTGGAAGTGAAATTATTCTGTAAGGCAATGAGCTCACTGTTCGAAGATATAAAAAGTAGCAAATTATAATTCTTCTGTTTGCACGATGTGAAACAAACATCTAATGATTGTCAAACTTGACTTTTCTCTTATTAGGAAAAAAAACATGCCCTAAATTCGACTTTCGATAGTGTTCCTGTTATATTGCGCAATTCCCTTAGCTCGAAGAAATATTGTCTCCTAAAAACGATAGCATTTTTTAATCAATTAATTCCAATTATATGTATAGCGCAAGTAAGCATTTGAAAATTCTATGAACACTATAAAAAGTTATCTTTGCAAACCTATACCCATATCCTCATGATGTTGTTGTATGGTATTATAATTTTCCTGTCCTTGCAGGTCGGTATCCTTGTATTTTCATCATGAATATTGATAAGTTAAACAGTATAAGTTAAACTACCTGCTTAACAACTTATACATTCCCGTCAAAAAGTGTAGATTTCATGACAGTTCAGCCCGATATAATTCAGTTATGCAGAAAGCGGCGTTTTGGAGGCTTCATCAAGACGAAGGAACCGCTAAAGAAACTCAGAAGTAAGCAGCATTATAATTTGAGGTGGTCTTGTTTTTGTAAGTTGTGTGAATTCGTAGATTGCATCTGACGATATTTATCATGTTGATAGTCAAAAGAAAAAAAACATCGCAAAACCACAAATTGAAGATATGATATTACTTTTAGCACAAGTGCGAATTATGACGCAAATTAGAAATTTTCAACTATTTGAGAGTATGTATTTCTTTTTTGGCTAAGATGGCGCTATTTTCTCTAATTACAAGAGATTGTTGAATTAAACTTGCTCGTTCGTAGCATTTACTTCGCTTTCATCTATGCCATTTTGTCGAAAAAAATGAGCTTCGTGAAGTCAAGGTCAGTTTTCAAGTGTGAAGAGATAAACATTTTACGGCAAAAGGATCCGTAACAATTGGATATTTTAAAGTAGCACCTTGCGTTTAAATGATTTATCAGTTGTTAATGGCTCGCTGTATGCACTGTACGTAGGCAAAACCCTAAACATTGCCAACGGTAAAATGTGTGTATATGGAGTTCTCGTGGGATTTTACAAAACAAAAGAAGGTCATGTATAGCAATGTGGTTTTTCCAAACCATGCAGGTAGATAAATGGCTTGTAGACTGCTTAGTTATGTGATACGGAGGTTATTCCACTGACCCGCTGTAGAAGCCGAGACTTGCACTTTTTCTCAGCTTATCGTCTATTTTGCCAGGTGACAAGTGATTGATTAGTATTAATTATTACAACAAAGCCCAAAATAAACCCACACCGAAAACAAGGTGCTTTATTTAATAATGGCATCACATCGTTAGCGGTTAGATTTTGGCCTGGATGCAAGATATGGTTCATAATCGTCGTCTGGGTTAGACTGTCGGTAACATTGATGCTTGTAATGAAAGCTTTGTCCAACATTTAGAGAGTGACGGTGAGAAAGTTTTATTGTGGTGAGTCACAGTTTGTATTACTTTTATTATTCTCCTCGCCTTGTCCTAATTTGCAACGGAAAACTAATAAGCGAATTATCTCTTGTAGGCTATAATACTTTTACTATATACGACGGATTATGTGAATTAAGTATTATGGCAGTTGGTTTGCGTTAAACAAAAACTTGATTTTAAGGGATAAAAGATTTTCAGATATTGGCAGATTTACAGCCAATGCTTTGTTTTCAGGTAAAGTTTTCATCGTTCGAATTGCAGTCACCTTTTTAGGGAAGATTTTCAAGTATGATGTTGATACGTCGATCTATTCATTTTTATCAGTCAACTATCGTCAAAACATTCTTTTAAAGTCAATTTGTAGCATTAAAAAAAAAACTAATAAGGAGAGTTGATTTTTGAAAGGGCAAGGATGGACGAGTTTGCATGCATACCTGAAGCCAATATTCTTTAAAATGTCTTGCAGACTAGAGTTCGAGTAAATATCAGTTGTTTACACTTTGATTCTAAAATATCGCAACTAGATAAACTTATCCACTCTTTTAGTATTTTGTCGTCCCTCATTTGTTGTTATCACAACAGCAGTTGACACAAAGTGAAATTACTATTATTCTATCTAGTTTTGAATACTGGTATATTCCTTAAATTTGGCTAATTTTACAGCTACATGGATGTTACTCTTTCCTCAAACGTTAGCCTGGAAATGTTTGTGCTCAGTTTAAAAGAATGCTCAAAGGGGTTTAGTTTTTCCCTCAAAGATTTTTTAGTCAAGAACCTAGTTTCTCGATGTCGTCAATATGCCAGTGAGGTAGTGAAGCTTTGCTTTTATATACCTTGGTCATTCTATAACGACAACTTCCTTTAACAGGCGAATATTTTAATTTCTTGTAGAAATTCGCATGTTCTGTATTTATTTCTAACTGCGACGTACTACGTTATGACAATATTTTACAACGCGTATTACTCAGATGAATTGTTACTTTCACGTCCCTTTTCCCTGTTTGTCCACAGTACCTGCACGTCAAGGACTTATTTCTAGTATTTTTAGAATCCATATTGCACTGTCATGCTGTTTCTCGATTTATTTTCCTTCCCTTGGCGGTCCGTACAAGTGATATTCCCATCATTAATATTGATAACAACCCAAGTTAAACTACCTGCTTAAGAAATTAAACATATCTGTCAAAAAGTGTAGATTCTTATGACAGTTCGACTTAAAATTATTCAATTATGCACAAACGTTTGGACGAGGAAGTGTCACAGAGGCAAATTCATGGGGAAACCCTCACGAAAACAAAAATGTTATGATTGCGGAATTTGTAAGTTTGTTGATAGTGCTGTTACCTTTATTTCGAGGTGAGAAACAAGTCGCTGACAGTTGACAATTTATACAACTAATCTTTAGAATATTGACAGCCCTCAACTGAGGTTTTCCCCGCTTGCATCCAAAAATTTAAGAAGTTTCTGCTCCGAGATTTTCGATGTCACAGACACATGAAAAAGAAAACGACAAAAAGTTCTTCGTTTTAGTTTAAACCCTTATGAGACAAAGAACTTCATAGGTTATGCGGGGTGTAAAACGAACAAATTATTTAACTGAGTAGTTATCGCTTCTTTTCAGAGACGAAATTTTGCAGAACGTAAAGCACAGGTTAAACCAATGTTGTCTTCCAAGCAGCATAGCAACAAGTATGAACGATTTTTTCTGTAAGGAATAGCTATGTTTAGTAGAACAATATTTCTCAGCAGCCGTGTGGTAAAAATTATACCTCTTCTTGTATTATTGAATTGATGACCCGCTGAATGTATGGGATACAAACCCGCTAGAAATCAACAACGGGGTTGCAAACTGAGTTAATTAGATTCATGATTGTGGCATTAAGAATTGTGTCAAGTTCATAATACTCGGTCAGTAGATATTCAGAAAGTTTATTTCAGATTATGCGTAGATAAAGAAGGCTATTCGTGAAGTTATTGTGGAGTCATAAATTACAGACATTGGAAATGAAAAATTTACAATTTTTAAATTGAGGTTTATAGTTGGCCTTGAATATGAAAATCGAGTGATTTTTCCTAATTATCGTAACAAACTCTCCAAATAATAAAACCGTAACTAAATCGTAGAGTTTTAATTTTGTGATTTGTTTATGCGGCTGGTGGAAAGAAATTGAATTAATTGCATGATCTTCCAAAGCAGCCTTGGGACAAAAACAGTTTTCCAGACGTTTAGAAAAGTTCAAAAAACGGTTCGTGTTAGAATCCGATTCGGATGTGGTATCATCCTCCATTAATTCTTGTTTTCAATTTTTCTTTATACCTCAATACTAAACAATTGTGCCTTGCAATGGTATTTATCTTGAATTAAGCTCTGAAATACAAAAACGGCAAAAGATAACCCAGTTGAACCAGTTTATCAGGGAACAAATATTTTGAGATTTTTTTTACTCGTTTGGGGCGTTTTCTGTGTTCTCCATTGTGGAATTTGAAGTATTAGAATTGTGCGTCTTAACCACGCAGACATTCCTGTGGACAAATATTTTATTCTTTGATTATTAGACACTTTCATGCAATTGTAATGAAAAGAAATAACTGGAACGGGGTGCAAATTTAAGGAAGCTCAGTTGCGGCATTCTAGTTATTAAATTTTGGCTACGAAAATTATCTTTAAATAAATTGAAGAAATCATTAAAATAGAAGTTTACTAGGATAGAAAAACACCAAAGAGATAATAATAAATCATAAAGGAACAAGGATGGTTAAGGATGGAGAGGACTGACACGGGTTACAAACGACGAACTTGAATCGAAAAATGTAGGCTGAACTTTTCAAGATGCGGCAAACCGTGACATAGCTCCTTTAATCGATACATTTTTTTTTTGATAAACTGGCGTATTTTTTTGAAAGAACATAACTTTCCAATGAAAGAAAGAATTACCTCCTTTCACTTATTAACTTTGTGAACTTAAGCAATGTTGTAGTTTTCATAAATTTTACTGATATTACAAAGGTTAGTTCTGCGGTAGTTTTGCATTCTCAAGGTCAAATTTATTGTTGGAAATATCGTGCAAACATTTTTATTTGTCGAATCTGTTCACGACTACGAGTGGCATTTAAATGACCTACATACACTACTTGAACTTCACACCGAGAGCGATTATCTATATATAATTTGTATATAATTGAACCTTTCAGGGTTGTTCAATTTTTAACTCGTGAATTACGATAGTAAGTTACGAGTTGTTGAGAGTGGTAAGATTTAAGGGTGGCGAAAGTAATTTTGAGCATGAAATATAAAAAATATAGCGTTTGATTTGTGTTAGATGTCCTTTGTTGTGATAAAGTATCTTTCAAGTAAAATGAATCGATGTACTATGTCTAATTTTCTGAACATGATCATGTTGTAAAAGAATGGCTTTCCTAGGGCAGATTTACGAGGTTTTCCTGTTCGTTATAAAGAGGTTGCCATTGGTGTGCGCTCGACTGTAGCAATTTTAAATTGTTAAATCAACTCCCTTTATTTCAGGGAGGGGATGAGCAAAGCTCCGCCTTTACCCGAGCTCAAAATGACAGGGCCTGGGTCGAAGAGGCCACCGTTCTCCTGGGAGGAGATTTGTATGTATTTGTATGGACACGTGCCGTTGGAGCCTACAGTCCTTGACAATCAGCGTAAACTCATCAAGCACGAGGAACCTGGCCCAGGTACGTACTCATCGGTAGGTAAATAAATCTGAATGACAGATCATGAGCGAATAGGCATCAAAGCGAAGGCGACCTGAGCTCAAGACATAGAAAACAAGAGCAAGTATTCTAGTGGTTAATGAAAGTACAATTGAGCCCCATTTATATGGGCTTGGGTAACCGAGACAACCCTCCCCCCGAGTCAACTTTATCGAGCGTTTATCTGTGAAAATGTAGTCCCTGTAGGCCGAGTCAAAGTTGACCCTGCATGATTATTGATAACCCTTATTGAATAATCAAATATGCAAGTATCCCTCTTTCTTTTAGTTTCCATCGGTCATTCGATCAAAATGGATTTCGCCGAGTTATTTTTCTCTTCTTTGATTCTTTGATTTCTGCTTTAAACCCTTAACCTACGCATTTCGTGACATTCACCACGCCGAGAGTTGGGCGAGCCAAAGTGTTCATATGAAGAAAAGTTGCCCCGCCTGCCAGTGTTACCCTACCTGCCGAGGTCAGACAGGATGGGTTTGCGAGCCTCGTGTAAACGGTTGGTTGAATTTTGCAAAGAAATAAGTGAAAAGTTACCTCGGCCAGGGTAACTCGAGGGAAGGGTCTTCTCGGGTACCCGAGACCATATAAATGGAGCCTTAAACTAGGGACTGGAATTAGTTGACACGTATCGTGGTCTGTTGAAAACCCGCGTGACGAACTGATTCTCACTGACAGAACACGATCTCGATTGTCCTCAATGGGGAGATATATATCTTATTATACATTTTACTGTGCAATATCGCTGAATATTTTTTAAGGATGTTGCAGTGTTTTATTGAACCCGTCTGACAGTAAGTGAGTACTTGCACTTTAAAATGCCTTGTAACATATTTATTATTTAACCTTTTGCTTTTTTGAAAACTAAGGTCGTATCTCAGTTGTGTTTCGCGTTGAGATCGCTCAGGGGAACAAAGAGTATTACAATCAACCAGCCTGTAAAACAGGTTTCCAGGAGTACAAAAATTGCCGCGTATTATTAGTACTCTAGTAGCTTGCAAAAGGTCTTGCTTTTTAGCGTCCGAGCTAAATCATCCATCTTCGAATTTTATTATTTTTGTTGTGTTTATCTGAAAAGAACGCAAGAAAAAGCGGTGTTCACTGCCAAGCCCGTCCTTGGTGTTCCCGGATGAGGTGAAACTCTGTAGGTCGAGTGTCCCTGGGGCAGAATATGGAGTGTGTGCGGCTCAGCCCATTCCCCCTGGAACGTGGATCGGTCCGTATGAAGGCCAGGTTATCAGGCGAGATGAATTGCGAGATGGCGCACATAATGACTACATGTGGGAGGTAAGAAAATATTCTTCGACTGATGTTCATAGTTAAGGGAGATAGGTCATAATGAAAAATCTTGGCCTAGTTTTTCAACTCACCGAGTTACAATGAGAATGAACACACTGTGAATCTTTGGGTGGGGGGTTGCCGCTGGGACACTGGAACCCTTACTCTATACTAGACTATGATCAGCTTGATTTTGCATCTCTATTCTAAACTAGCTAGACTCCAGAAATCCCTACTCTACCCTAGACTAGCTATTTTCCATACAGCACCTTTCTCACTATGGTAGTCCAACATATGCTAAATAAACCAATATCTTAGAAGACTTACAAAGTCACCTCTATTATAGAACACCGGATAAAAAATTCTGTTCTAGACTAAATTATTTAAATACTTTAGCCACTTTTCCGATAAGTTATACCCTACCCTAGACCAAAACTGAATGATTTATATACCCTATCTCAGACTAAACTGCCTGACAACCATATACCCTGCATAGCAGCACATACTTATTTACAGGGTTCGTACGGGTCCTGGAAAACCTGGAAAGTCCTGGAATTTTATTGTGGCAAGTCCTGGAAATAGGCTACTGGTCCTGGAAAGTTCTAAATCTGTTAAACTCAAGTAACAAAATGAAATGTATGGCAGACAGTAAAGAGAACTGACAGTGGAATTGTTGGGAGTGAAAGGTTTATGTTGAATTGTAGGGTCATGGAAAAAATCAATCTGAGTCCTGGAAAAGTTCTGGAATTTTGTTCCTGAAAAAGGGTACGAACCCTGTATAAAGCTTATATATATGTCAGTACTAGGATTCAACGCTTATAGTATATGTTCCTTTTTTTTCTCTCTGTCATGTTAGATTTACAAAGACGGGAAGTTTAGTCATTTTATTGATGGAAGTGAAGAATACATGTCCAGCTGGATGCGTTTTATACAATGTGCTCGCTACAAAGAGGAGCAGAACATGACGGTGTTTCAGTATTGTGGGAACATTTATTACCGGGCCTTCAGGCACATCCCCGCAGGCAGGGAACTCCTGGTGTGGTACGACGAAAAATACTCCGAATTTATTGATGTCCCGGCTCTGATGAAAGCGAGGGTCGTCAAAGGTTTGAAATTTCATTTATCTATATTAGTTCATTTTTTGTAACAGGCCCTAGTTAATAGAGGAAAATGGTTAAGAATCCCGTTAAACATCAAAGAAGCAAACAAAAAGGCTAAGAGTTATGTTGGAAGGTCCTTGACCCTACACATCTTTTGTTTTATGCTCATTGACTATGCATGAGTTACATAATTACAATGTTTCTATCGGTTAGTTGTATGAGCACACATAACCACCTTTTGTATTTTGTCAGGTTTTGTGTAGGGTCAACACCCAAAATAGCCAACAAAAACATACAATAAAGACCGTTGCCAGGTTTTTTCAACCAATTTCCTCTGTTAACTATGGACTGGCTATTTGACTAGTTCCTTCCTTCCTGCCTGCCTGCCTGCCTGCTAAAAACCATGAAAGCATATTTAAAATTTCTCTTGTCCAGTCCCTCGTTAAATAATCTCCGGTATTTTAAATACGTTTTATCTTCTTGTATTTTGCGTTTCCAGAACACACGGTTCAGTGGAAGCCTCCAGGAGTAGATGAAGAAATTCTTTTCGAAGATTCAAGAGATCAGGTAGGACAGATTCTTCGGTGTAAGCATAACAGACTTACATGAAACCAGTAGCGATGGAATTTTTGTTCGTTGTTCCACTTTCCCTTCTTCGCTAGATGCTATTAACTCAACTTCAGATCTCAACCAAAGGAAAGTTCCTTTTAAGCTTTTTAATACGTTAAGCAGAAATCTTTCCGATTCACAAACGGCAAGTGGAATTAATTTCATTGTTCCTCTTTTTAGCTCGTTTAGGCGTTGACATGCACATCAATTACGTCACTTCTCAGAGGAAGCTAAATTTAAGCAAAATTTTACTTCCGGTTGCCGTTTTTGACCCTCTAAATTACGTCAAGTGATGGAAATTTTTAAGTCTTTTTAACCAGTAGAATTGAACGATAAGGTTATTCACTTCATCTCTTATTATTTATTCCAAAATTTACATTAATTGTTTGTTTGTTCTGAAGGACTTTGATGATCCGGAGAGGCCCCTGGACCCTTTTGGACTGGGTCTGAAGGATCACGGAGAACCCCATATTTGGAGATGTGGTCAGTGCTCGCAGACGTTTTCTCAAAGGGTGCTTCTCCAGATGCATGTATGCCCACAGGTAAGGCCTAAGGTGTCCATGTCTGTCAGAAGGACTGCTTAGAATCTGACGTGTGAATGGAGGGAAGCAGTAGAAGAAAATACCATACGATGCCACCTTATGTCGCGTCGAGCTAAGTCTTTGAAAAATGGTGTTCTCCGAAGTAACTTGTACTGGACGTATTTTACAATTGACCTTCTCCAAAAGTATTGCCTATCAGACGTGGATTGGATTTGACTAAGTTTGTAAACACCGTCACATTATTCTAGACACCGTATCTTCGCGATAATTTAACATCCTTTTTTCCTTGCTCATCAACTATTTAAAAAAGGGAATTCTTTCCTCTTTTCCAGTCCCCCGATCGACCATACCAGTGCGGGCACTGTCCTTCGTCGTTCCCAGGCCCAGCCGAGCTGAGAGAACATGTCGTGATCCACATCAACGAGAAACCATTTAAATGCGGCTTCTGCGGGCGTTCATTCGCTGGCGCAACAACACTGAACAATCACATTCGAACGCATACGGGAGAAAAGCCATTTAAATGCGACAAGTGTCATAAAACGTTTTCGCAATCTACGCAGCTGAGCCGTCATCAGAAGTCACCGGAAGAATGCCAAAGAGATGTTATAGAAAGAAAATAAACAAAAAATACCCATCATCAACGGCTAGTTGGCTTTTAAACCAACTGGGTGTACCATAAAGAAGATATGTTTTCGATGTTCCAAAAACAAACATGAAGTTAGCTTAGAGATTAGGGAGTTATGCAGCACCATTATATGTTGTACATTTTCGTTAATACTGCCATTAGATTTTCTAGTTTAATTTATTATTTATTAGATGTATAGTATATTTTGCCTAGTTTCAAATGGAAAAGCTCATTTAAAGGGTAGACAATTTGACCTTTGAGGGAGGCTGTCGTTAAAAAAAAAAGCCTGAAAAAAATTCAGGCTTGAACGGTATTCTTCTTCTTAAGTTGTGTCTATAACTGCGATGATCATTGATGTCTTCATATCTTTCTCCGCAGTTCAAATATATGATCTTTCATACATTCACTTGAATCTTCACCATCTACGGGTATATTTCGAATTCACAAAGTGACCAGCTGCCAGTTGGCTTGATAGCTCAGTTGGTAGAGCACAGCACCGGTATCGGAGAGGTCATGGGTTCGAATCCCGTTCAAGTCTGAATTTTTTTGTGTGTATAAAAAAGCGATGATCATGATCAATCATGTCTTTATATCTTTCTCCGAAGCTCATATGTTCAGTTGCAGTCTAAAAGACTTGAAAATAGTTCAATATGATTTTTGATGAACTGGCGGGCGGAAGAAAATTTAGTGGTAAGCAGTTAAGACAATAGAGTGTTTATGTCTCGGAACTATCGGTCTGATGGCTACCCCTTGGAAATTTGACGTTCTTAAATTAGCGTATTTGCCTCGAAGTTTTGTTTCTCCGGGGAAAAAGTTGTTTTAAGAACATCAAATTTCCGCGAAGCAACTATCACCCGATAGTTCCTCGCCACAAACACTCTATTGTTTGAATAGTTGATTAAAAGCCCACGAAAGAAGCCTGTATTTTTCCGCGTAGTTGAATCATTAGACTCAATCTTGGAACCTAGAGCATCATGAAACTAAGTGTACTGCAAAAAAAGGTACTTTTCGTGGGCTTCTAGGAGCAGCGTCGCGATTTGCGTGAGGCAGTGTCGTCGAGTGGTCAGGGTGCCCAACTTAAAATCTAGTGGTCCCGGGTTCATGTCCCGCTCTGAATGACTTAGCTAGAGTTCTTTCTCAGTAGACCCAAGATCAACTCCTCGGTCTGCCTGCAAAAGAACTGATTTTAATTGGGAGGTCATTTTTTTTTTGTTTCGGAAAGATTCAATAATGAATTTAAGAAAAAACTTTATAACTTGAGCACGGTCGTTCATACTGTTTACAACACGTATTGCAAAGCAAGTTTGGGCTGTCAATAAAAACTACATTTCATGCGCATATAGGTACCGTTAAATTTGCTACCCAATTAGAGGAGTCCCCCTGTAACCCAGTGGTTATATTTCCGAGCTTCTGTTCGGAAGGGCATGGCGTTCAACCCCGCCAGGGGACTCCGCGTTTCTTTTTTTTTTTTTTGATATTCCTGTTGGACTCCATTGATGTTTCTTCCTACAATCTTTTTTTTTCCCTTTTGAACCAAGTTAGGTGTGAAAAGAGCTTTAAAGGAAGGACATCAAACCTGGATGACCCTAAATTTTACCCATATTGCCATTTCTTTTTTCCGTATAAGCCGTTCGTTATTATCTTGTATCAAATAGGCGAAGAACTGCAAAAGTACTGATCTTCATAAACAGGTCATTTTTTTTACTATTTCGCAAAGATTTAATAATAAATTTAAGAGAAACTTTCTTACTTAGGCAAGGTCGTTCATAATTTTCACTGCACGTATTGCAAAGCTAGTTTAAGCTGTCAATAGAAACTACATTTCATGTGCATATAGGTACCGTTAAATTTGCTACTCAATTCAAGGAGTC